TGTAATCACATGGAAGCACACAAACAGTGGCGGCAGCTCTTAACTGGTTGCCGACCAGCCATAGTACATTTATTGCAGCAGGGTGGCACCGCTGTGCAAAATCACTAATATATATACCTGATTTTGCATTTCGGGTAAGGGGCACACACGAGGCGTGCGACCGCCCCACACGCGCCGGTGGATCGCGGTGATCGCCGGCCGGCGATTACCGGCAAACACTGACAGGGAGGACAGCTGCAGTGTTTACACTGCAGCTCTCCTCTCAGTCAGTTTCCAGCACATTGTTCAGGATTGCTGAGTTCAGCTTTCCGGATCAGTGTGTTCTGTGAAGAACACCCCCCCCCCCTAGACAAACACTCCCCTCAACAGTTAACCCTTTGATTGCCTCCAAAAGTTAACACCTTCCTCCTCAGTGCCATTTGTACAGTGTCAGTGTTTTTTTTTGCACTGATCACTGTATTGGTGTCACTGGGGATGTCAGTGACCCCAAGTCAGTTCCCACCCAGTGTCATAATGTCCACGGCAGTCCCTCAGTCCTGCCATAAGTCGCTGATCGCTGCCATTATTAGTATAAAAAAAAATTCCAGTATATATACTGCCATTTGTAAATGCTATAACTTTCACATAAACCAATTAATTTACACATATTGCGATTTGACATGTCGCAGAATACATTTTGGCCTAAATTTATGCCAAAATTTGATTTTAAAAATTTTTTTACAGGACATGTTTTATAGCAAAAAGTCCAAAATATTGTTTTTTTTTTCTCAAAATTGTTGGTGTTTTTTTTTTTTATAGCGAAGAAAAAAAAAACACAGGCGATCAAATACCACCAAAAGATAGCTCAATTTGTGGGGGAAAAGGACATAAATGTAATTTTGGTGCAACGTTGCATGACCGCGCAATTGTCAGTTAAAGTAACGCAGCGCCGTAACACAAACCGCTTCTGTAACTGCTTCCTGACTGCCCTATAGCAGAAATACTGCTACAGGGCGGCACAGGAGCGCAAAATCACACACATATATATATGTGTGTGTGATTCGCGCTCCCGTGGTTTTCACGCCCCTCCCAGATAGCATCAGATTGCCCATCAGTATACCCGTAATCACATTTAACTCCTTGATTGCCAGGAACATGCTCATACACAATAAACCTCCATTGCTAGTATAGTGTCTGAAAGGATCAATATCTTTGATCAGATCAGCACTATACCAGTGCTCACATTAGTATAGTGTCCCCAAAAATGAAGCTTTAGCGGGATCACGGCACATCCCAGCACCTGCGTTTAGCCCCTATGCTTACCCCCCCCTTCTCCCCCAGCAAGTGCAGTGTCAGTAGGTCACTATCACTTGATACATTGCACACAAAACCTCAGGCCTGATCTCTGCTAGCACTTGCCGGTGAATTTTGATTACTCTCATATGCAGCAGAGTGCCAGTACTAGTGCCACGCTACCTTTTGGTGAACTGGCGAGCACCAGAGGCCTGGTACATCCTGGACTTTCACATACCAGCACTGCAGTATCACTTTGTGATGTGTGCAGTACAAGCTGGAATGGTGGCGAGCACAAGTATTGTCCCGCAACCACCAAGAATTCGCACACAGGCCTGTAGAGCCCCTAGTATCCTTCCGGATGTGCTTGCAAATCCCGATTGGCAGCCCACAAATTCTGCAGCACCTGTACTTCCTCCATTCACTGCCCAACTCAAAATTCAGGTGGAAAAAGCAAATTTAACTACTCCCCTTGATTTTTTGGAGCTGTTTTTCACTGAAGATCTTTATGCATTGATTGTGGATCAAACCATTTTATATGCACAACAATTTATCGCCGCCAAGCCATATTCAAACCTTGCCAGACCATTCGCATGGAAACTCATTACGGTTTCCAAATTAAACATTTTTTTTTAACCTATCCCTGAACATGGGCATTACTAAAAAAAATGAATTGCAGTTGTATTGGTCCACAGACCCGATTCATCATATGTCCGTGTTCTCTGCTGCCACGGCGAGGCATAGATGTGAGAGTATAATGTGTTTTATGCGTTTTTCAACGACAATACACTTTGTCATCCTCGAGGTGACCCTGAATTTGATCGGCTCCACAAAATTCAGCCCCTCATAAATAACCTTACCAAAAATTTGCAGATGTCTATACTCCCCAGCAAAAAATCTACGTTGATGAGTCCCTCATTAATTTTTCTGGCCGCCTTGCATTCAAACAATTTCTCTCCAGCAAGTGTGCCAGATATGGGGTCAAGATGTAGAAGACCTGTGAGAGGGCAACAGGCTATACTTATAAGTTTCAGATTTACGAGGGAAAAGATAGTCATGTGGAGGCCCCCGGATGCCCAGACTACATGGGGAGTAGTGGCAAGATAGTTTGGGACTTGGTGTCATCCTTTTTCCATATGTAGTACTACTTATACGTGGACAGTTTTTATTCAAGCATGCCACTATTTAGACATTTGTACAATCTTGGAACTGGCACATGTGGCACCGTGTGACCTAATGTGTGCCCACCATTAGAAGTGGGTGGATGCAGGGCGGTATATTCTAATGGTGGGAATACCACACACTTTTTCTGGCAGAGATTTCTTCTCTTTTTTTCATTCAGCCCACAGGCTGCATACAAAGAAAAAAAAGAACATAGCATATATAACCAACAAGGACCAGCAACGTACTGGTACATCACTGGACTTTGAATGGTTATACCAGGATGATGCCTACAGCTGCAGGCATCATCCTGTTTTAATTTTTTTCAGTCGGCGATCGGCTTTCATGTAAGAGCAATCCACTAGGCTAATTAGCTGCAGGATTGGTTTTACAAGCAGCAGGAGATGATGCCCCCCTCCCCCGCTGCCTTTCACGGCCTTCTAGGGGCAGTCCCGTGCCATCGGGGGAACCTGAGAATGCAGCCGGTGTTTCTGCCAGCTGACCATAGAGCTGATTGGAGACCAGAATGGTGCCAATCATCTCTATAGTCTAAGAAATCTGAAGTTATGAGCATTTCATCACTTTAGTTTCGCAGGATATAAACAGCGCCATTTGTAAATTGGGAAAGCATCTGATCACACCGATTTTGGTTTGATTAGATAATGTAAGGGCAGAGGAAATATCTAGAGTCTGATAGACCCCAGATTTCTCAAAAAAGAATATATGACAATGCCCACTGAAATTATAGGGGGTATTTGCATTCCCTTTGAAAGCATTACAAGTGATAAAAAAAAATGAAAGTGTCAGTGTAAAAATAATTTAAAAAAATTAAAAAAAAAAAAAGCACCCTTGCCCCCCCATGCATGCACACCTGTGTGCGCAAGCATTGACCATGTGCCGGTATGTAAACAGCGGTTGCACCATGCATGTGAGGTATCGCCGTGAACATCAGATCAAGGGCAGTAATTCTAACACTAGACCTCCTCTGTAAATCTAAAATGGTAGCTTAAAAAGGCTTTTAAAACGTTGACTATGGATATTAAAAAAGTATGCAGTTTGGCGCAATTGCACAGGGCATGCACAGTTTTAAAGCATGTCATGTTTGGTATCTATTTACTCGGCATACCATCATCTTTTATATTTAACCAAATAATTGCCCAATATATTGTGTTTTTTGTGCATTAAAGTAAAATAAGTGTATTTTTTTTTTTTAAATTGCGTTTTAAAGTCGCTGCGCGAGTATTATGTGACATAAAAAATTGCAACACCCACCATTTTATTCATTAGGCTGTTTGCTTTTAAAATAATATATAATGTTTGGGGGTCTAAATTAATTTCCTAGCAAAAATACAGATTTTTTTCATGTGAACAAAAAGTGTCAGAAAAGGCTTGATCGTCACGTGGTTAGAAGAGTGAGTGATGTGTGGCATAAACTTCTAATGCTGGGCATAAAATGCCCCCACCCCCCAAGACAACCCCTTTTTGGAAAGTAGACACCCCAAACTATTTGTTGAATCGATAGAAGAATTTATATTTTTACCACAAGTTTTTGGAAAATGACAAAAATTTTTACACAAAATTGTCACTTAAATGATTTATTGCTCACACATGCCATGGATATACGTGGAATTACTCCCCAAAATACCGCATTTTTCACTCCATAATACGCACTTTTTTCCCCCCAAAAAAGGGGGGAAAAATGTCAGTGCGTCTTATGGAGCGAATGTAAAGCGGCCGGTCTGGTATTTCTGCCGCCACCACGGCCGCTCAGCTCTTCTCTCCTGCAGGACCTTACCTGTTCCTTGCTCCAGCGCTGCAGTCTTCTCGTGGCGGCTTCTGTGACAGCCGGGTGCCCACTGCACATGTGCGAGAAGCGCTGCACTTTGTGAATGGTCCAGTGTCTTCTGGGGACACGACAGGTCCCAGAAGACTCCGGGCCATTCACAAAGCGCAGAACTTCTCGCGCGCATGCGCAGTGTGCACCCGGTTGTCACAGAAGCCGCCGCGGGAGGAAGAAGGAAGGACAACTCTGCGGAAGTGGGAGCGGTTACCTGTCAAATTCAGGTACCCGCTCCCACTCCCTCCCCAAAGGTCCGCAGTCTCTGGTAATCCCCTGCACTGTCTGAAGTCTCTGGTCATCCCCTGCACTGTCTGCAGTCTCTGGTCATCTCCTGTACTATGTCTGCAGTCTCTGGTCATCTGTACTATGTCCGCAGTCTCTGGTCATCTGTACTATGTCCGCAGTCTCTGGTCATTCCCTGTACTGTGTCCGCAGTCTCTGGTCATTCCCTGTACTGTGTCCGCAGTCTCTGGTCATCTCCTGTACTGTGTCCGCAGTCTCTGGTCATCTCCTGTACTGTGTCCGCAGTCTCTGGTCACTCCCTGTACTGTGTCCGCAGTCTCTGGTCATTCCATGTACTGTGTCCGCAGTCTCTGGTCATTTCCTGTACTGTGTCCGCAGTCTCTGGTCATTCCCTGTACTGTGTCCGCAATCTCTGGTCATCCCCTGTACTGTGTCCGCAGTCTCTGGTCATCTCCTGTACTGTGTCCGCAGTCTCTGGTCATCTCCTGTACTGTGTCCGCAGTCTCTGGTCATCTCCTGTACTGTGTCCACAGTCTCTGGTTATCCCCTGTACTATGTCCGCAGTCTCTGGTTATCCCCTGTACTGTGTCCGCAGTCTCTGGCCATCCCCTGTACTGTGTCCGCAGTCTCTGGCCATCCCCTGTACTGTGTCCGCAGTCTCTGGCCATCCCCTGTACTGTGTCCGCAGTCTCTGGTCATCCCCTGTACTGTGTCCGCAGTCTCTGGTCATCTCCTGTACTGTGTCTGCAGTTTCTGGTCATCCCCTGTACTGTGTCCGCAGTCTCTGGTCATCCCCTGTACTGTGTCTGCAGTCCATTGGTTCAGAATATTTTTTTTTTTTCTTGTTTTTCTCCTCTAAAACCTAGGCGCGTCTTATGGTCAGGTGCGTCTTATGGAGCGAAAAATACGGTACATTCTGCTACTCCTCCTGAGTGTCTCTGCCCGCAGTCTCTGGTCATCCCCTGTACTGTGTCTGCAGTCCATTGGTTCAGAATATTTTTTTTCTTGTTTTTCTCCTCTAAAACCTAGGCGCGTCTTATGGTCAGGTGCGTCTTATGGAGCGAAAAATACGGTACATTCTGCTACTCCTCCTGAGTATTAATGTACCACATATGAGAGATGTTTTGGCAGTCTATCCAAGTACAGGATACCAAAATCCAATAAGCACCTTCAGGCTTTTAAAGGGCTTTATTTCCTCATTACACTTCCTGACTACCTATCACAGTTTTGGAGGCCCTGAAATGCCAGGATTTCAAACCCCCCCAAATGACCCCTCTTTGGAAAGTAGACACCCCAAAGAATTTGATAAAAAGCATGGTGAGTATTTTGCAGATCTCGTTTGTTGCCACAAGTTTTTTGGAAAATGAAAAAAAAACAAAAACATAATTTTTCTTTTCTTTTTCTTATATTTCAAAACCTTGAAAGAAAAAATTAGATCTGCAAAATTCTCACCATGCCTCTTTTTAAATTCCTTGGGTTGTCTACTTTCCAAAAAGGGGTTATTTGGGAGGGGTTTGGTGCTATCCTGGCATTTAAGGCTTCAGAAACTGTGGTAGGTAGTGAGGAAGTGAAATGAGGAAGTTACGCACCTTCAGGCTTTCAAAGTGGTCATTGGATTTCAGGTTCCTGTATGTGACTAGGCTCACAAAAAGTCTCATACATGTGGTATCACCATACTCGGTAGAAATAGCAGAATGTATTTTGGGGTGTAATTCCACATATACCCATGGCTTGTGCAAGAAATATATCATTTAAATTACAACTTTGTGTAAAAAAAAAATGTTTTTGTCATATTCCAGAAACTTGTGGAAAAAATGTGATGGGCAGTCAGAAAGTAAAAGCTGTGTAAATTCCATTATCTATACCATAGTTTGTAGATGCTATAACTTTCATACAAAGCATTCAATATACACTTACATGGATTTTTTTAACCAAAAACATGTAGCAAAATACATTTTGGCCTAAATTTATGACGAAAATTTAGTTTTTTTGGATATTTTTTATGACAGAAATGAGAAAATATCATTTTTAAAAAAAAAAAAAGTTTTCTTCAAAACTTTTTTTTTGTTTATAGCACCAAAAATTAAAAGTGTACAGGTGATCACATACCACAAAAAGAAAGCTCTATTTGTGTGAAAAAATGACATAAATTTAATTTATGTACCGTATTGCATGACCACGCAATTGTTAATTAAACTAGTGCAGCGCTGTATAGCAAAAAAAAATGGTGTAAATTGCAGTATTTATACCATAGTTTGTAGACGCTATAACTTTCACACAAAGCAATCAATATACACTTATTGATTTTTTTTTTTACCAAAAACATGTAGCAGAATACATTTTGGCCTAAATTTTTATAACTAACTTTGAGTTTACTATATATTTTTTATAGCTGAAAGTAAAAAAATATAGTTTTTCTTCAAACTTTTCAGTCTTTTTTTGTTTATAGCGCGACAAATAAAAAGCGCACAGGTGATCAAATACCACTGAAAGAAAGCTTTATTTGTTTGAAAAAAAGGATGTAAATTTCGTTTGGGTACAACATTGCATGACTGCGCAATTATCAGTTGAATTAGTGCAGCGCTGAGTAGCAAAAAGAGGCCTGGTGATTAAAGGCGGTAAATCATCTGGAGAGCAAATGGTTAAAAACAGAATGTCAGCACAAATAATTCCTATTCTGTTGTGACTGGAGGATGAGTGATCACATGTGAGGATGGCAGTGGCAGCTGGGGAATGTGTGGGCGTGTTTTCTGTGGAAGTGGGTGAGTACACAATCAACATGTACAGGCCTAGTATACTCACCCACACTTACTGCAATTCCCAAAGGTTGATGGGAAGTGTAATTTCCTGAGAGGAGAGGATATGATGTAATCCCGGCTGTTACACGTCTTCCTTGGCAGAGCAGATGCTGTTATTTTTTGAATTCCAGAGATGACTTCCTGAAAATTCAATTCATCTTTTCTCTTTAATGGTAAGGAATTTCACAAATGTTTTTAACTGTTTAGTGTTTTTTTGTAGGGTGGTGTTAGTACAGTTAGTATTAGTATGGGTGATTTTTTTGCCTATCCCAGAGTTCTTCTTTAACCACTTGCCCACCTGAGGATTTACCCTCCTTCCTGACATTTTTTGCATTACGGCGCTGCATTACTTTAACTGTCAATTGCACGGTCATGCAACACTGACCAATCACAGCAGGTCACATGATTATTATTATTATCCAGTATTTATAAAGCGCCAACAGTTCGCTCAGTGCTGTATATTACAATGGGAGACAGAACATACGACAGTACAATAACAATACAATGCGATACATGAGGGGTTCGAGGGCCCTGCTCCTTGGAGCTTACAATCTAGGAGGGAGGGGATAGTGGTACAGGAGGAAATAGCTGTGGGGGATGGAGTGGTAGGAAGAGTGGAGGAGGTCAGGAATTAGCAGGGGGTGGGGTAGGCTTCCCTGAAGAGGTGGGTTTTCAGGGTGCGCCTAAAGGAGAGGAGAGTAGGTGATAGTCTGATGGATTGGGGTAGGGAGTTTCAGAGTATGGGTGATGCCCTGGAGAAGTCCTGGAGGCGGGTATGGGAGGAGGAGACTAGGGAACTAGAGAGAAGGAGGTCTTGTGGGGAGCGGAGAGTGCGTGTAGGGTGGTACTTGGATATTAGGTTGGTGATGTAGTTTGGGGCAGCATGATGGACAGCTTTGTACATCAGTGTTAGGATTTTGAATTTTATCCGTTGGGCAATCGGAAGCCAGTGGAGGGATTGGCAGAGGGGGGGGGGTGGCGGAAACGGAGCGGTTGGTAAGGTGGATGAGTCTGGCTGCTGTATTCAGGATCGACTGAAGCAGGGATAGCCTGTGGCGAGGCAGGCCAGTGAGGAGGGAGTTGCAGTAATTGAGTCGTGGTATGATGAGGGAGTGGATGAGCTGCTTAGTAGTTTCTGGGGTTAGGAACGTGCATATTTTGGCGATGTTGCAGAGGTGGAGTCTACATGAGTTTGTTAGTGATTGGATTTGGGGCTGGAAGGATAGATTGGAGTCAAGAATGACACCAAGTACTCTGGCCTGCGGGGCGGGCCTGATGGTGGCATTGTTGGACGTGATGGAGAAGTCAGTGTGGGGTGGTCTGCGGGCTGGGGGGAAGACTAGGAGCTCGGTTTTGGAGAGGTTCAGTTTAAGGAAGTGGAGCGACATCCAATCTGATATGTCGTTCAGTAGGCTTGTGATTCAGGCGGAGACTGAGGGGGTGAGGCAAGGGGTCAAGAGATAGATTTGCGTGTCGTCAGCATAGAGGTGGTAGTTGCAGCCGTAAGAGTGTATGAGTTGGCCAAGGGAGGAGGTGTAGATGGAGAAGAGAAGGGGCCCGAGGACAGAGCCTTGAGGGACCCCAACAGAGAGGGGGAGTGAGGGGGAGGTGGTAACGTTATAGGTAATGCTGAAGGAGCGTTGTGATAGGTAGGACGAGAGCCAGGAGAGAGCGGAATCTCTGAGGCCAAGGGAGTGTCATTTTTTGAGGAGGAGGGGGTGGTCGACTGTCGAAAGCCACGGAGAGGTTGAGGAGTAGGAGCACTGAATAGTGGCCATTAGCTTTGGCGGTTAGAAGGTCGTTGGAAAGTTTGAGTAAAGCGGTTTCGGTGGAGTGTAGGGGACGGAAGCCGGACTGTAGGGGATTGAGGAGGTTGTTGTCATTGAGGTGGGAGCTTAGGCGATTGTAGACTAAGCGTTCAAGGAGTTTGGATGTGAATGGCAGCAGGGAGATGGGTCTAAGGTTGTTCGGGTTAGTGGGGTCCAGGGAGGGCTTTTTAAGTATGGGGGTGATGTGCGCGTGCTTCAGAGGGGAGGGGAATGCGCCGGAAGAGAGGGAGAGATTAAAGATGTGGGTGAGGGAGCGCAGGATGGAGGAGGAGGGAGGTCATAGGAGTTGTGAGGGGACAGGGTCGAGGGGGCAGGTGGTGGGACGGGCTTCAGAGAAGACCTTGGTGACCTCCTCAATGGTAGTAAGGTTGAAGGAGTGGAGTGTTGAGGGGGCATCAGTGTGAGGACTGTTAGGTGAGGTGGAGGTCTGAACAGTGCTGAGGCCGAGGGAGAGGGGTGATGAGGGGGTTGCTGTGTGAGAGGGGATGGGTGGGGAGGAAGTTTGAGCAGCAGCGATGTCCTTGCGAATTGCGTCAATCTTGTTTTTGAAGTGACTGGCAATCTCGAGGGAGGTGAGTGAGGTGCTGGGTGGAGGTGGTGGCGGAATGAGTAGAGAGTTGAAGGTGGAGAAGAGCCGGCAAGGATTGGAGAAGAGGGTCTTGATGAGGGTCAGGAAGTAGGCTTGTTTGGCAGCATGCAGGGAGGAGGTGTAGGTGTGGAAGGCAGATATATAGCGGGTGAATGCTATTTGGGATCTGGTTGTATACAATGGATGGCTTCTGTCAGGAAAGGACTCATTGCTGCTGGTGCTGATGGGCTGCAGTACCAGTTCTTGCCAGCGGGTTCTTTTCAGCAGCCAGGATCTCACCTTCTGCAATCAAGCCATCACTTGAGGCTGATTGCAGGAGGTGTATTTAAGCAGCAATCATGCCTGTAACCAGTGCCTTGGTGTTTTCCCACTAGCCCTTGTTGTTCTGAACTTGTATCCTGTCTTCTACCTGCTTGACTCTTCTGCTCGTTTCTGACCATGACTGAACTCTGCCTGTCCCGACCCGGCTCTCCTTTATGACCGTCCGTTTGCCTGCCCCTCTGTGCCATATCTGCCCGATTGTTCCAGACCCGGCCTGCCTGACCACTCCACCTCTCCAGTCCTGACTATGCCTGTGTTCCTGTACATATTGATATTA